ACTAAATGACTACAAACTTGACTGCAGTTTTGCTAGTCAATTTACTAGCCAAACTTTGCAAGCAAACCTTACTCGGATTTGGCGCCAATTTGCTGCCAAACCTCGTCAGCAAACCTTGCTCGGTATTTGGCGCCAATTTGCTGCCAAACCTCGTCACCAAATCTTGCTCGGTATTTGGCGCCAATTTGCTGCCAAACCTCGTCACCAAATCTTGCTCGGTATTTGGCGCCAATTTGCTGCCAAACCTCGTCACCAAATCTTGCTCGGTATTTGGCGCCAATTTGCTGCCAAACCTCGTCACCAAATCTTGCTCGGTATTTGGCGCCAATTTGCTGCCAAACCTCGTCACCAAATCTTGCTCGGTATTTGGCGCCAATTTGTTGACAGGAATTTGTACACAAGCTTTGCTCGCAAAACACAAGCTTATTGAGGACACAGATGGCACTGGATTTGCCATGGACGTTTGTAGAACAAATATGGTTATCGGGGTGACAACCTAATCGACACAGATCATCAATGACGTTACATCTATGTTACAAGTTTGCACTCAACAATGTAATGTAACATAACATAACAACATTGTTATGTTACATTTATATTCTTGAGTGCAAAATTGTAACATAGATATATTATCATTGATGATCTTCCCTTGACTGGGAAATCAAATAGAAAACTGTTTAAAAAATGCTATCAGAGTTGTTCAGACCGAGGTTCAAACTCTAATTAAGACTATGTTTTCAAACATAAGAAGGAAAAATCATGTTAATTTTTTTAATTTACAGCTGTGTACAATAAACAAAAAGCACAATATGTCTGGAGAGAAGAGCTTGGACTCGAGCTTGGAACAACACAGAGTTCAGCACGAAAGCGAAAACCAGCAAGAGGAGCTCGAGCAAGAGAATAATCAAAAAGAAGTAGAAGAGGTGGAAAAGTCTTGCAAAGACTTTTAGGAAGTAATAGAGGAGGAAATAGGTGTAATATTACCCGTGTACCTGAAGAACTTATTAAATATGACAGGATTTAACAACGATCATTCTATGAAAGGCTTTGAAGCTTCCGAACATTTGCCAGAGCTTGAAACTTTTGCACGTAATGTTATGTCAGAATATGCTAATTCAGTTTGTCCCCCTGAAAGTAAAGAAAGTTATCTTGGTATGTTTGTTCCCATGCAACAATTCGACGTCCTTTGGATGTCCGAAATATGTCTTGAAAAGTCCCGTTTATGTCGACGTCCCGTTTATGTCGACGGATGTCTAAAATACGTCTCAAGGACGTCGTTTGGACATCCAATAAGGTCATTTACGCAGATATTTTAGGGATGTCCAAAGTATATCGTCAATACGTCTGATTTTCTATTAAATACAATTTTTTAAATTGCAATTCTTTTAAAGAATAGTAGTATGGATGAGATTATTTTATATACAGGGTGTCCTAAAACCACCGGAGGTCCTCTTAATGACAGATTCCTTAGAACATTTCCAGACGAAAATCCTAATACAAAAGTGTCGAGGCTATAATAGTTTTTAAATTAGAAGCGATTATTTTCCACAAATGATAGGGCTGAAATTTCGCGCGCTCAGGAACGGCGAAATGACAAGTGATATAAGTGCTCCTATGAATA